ATCCATCCATCCATCCATCCATCCATCCATCTATCTATCTATCTATCTATCTATCTATCTATCTATTTGTCTGCCTGTCTGTCTGTCTATTAATCTATCTGCCTGTCTCTATCTGCCTGCCTGTCTGTCTGTCTGTCTGTCTGTCTGTCTGTCTGTCTGTCTGTCTGTCTATCTATATCTATTTGTCTGCCTGCCTGTCTGTCTGTCTATCTAACTGTAGCATTTTTACAGTCTTTTACCGTTAAATTCACGGTCATTTTTTACAGTGTAGGAATTTTATTTGAAGCAAGCAAAAAAAAAAAAAAAAACTATCATTCTTCCCAGAAAACTATTATATGACTTCAGAATGACTTTATGACTTTCACATGGAGAAGCATTAACTACACAGAGCCGTTGTTCACTGACAAGCTGTGCAAAACATGCGCAAAATATGACCGTGATTTTGCGCAGTTTGTCAGTGAACAAAGGCTCTATGTAGTTAATGCTGCTCCATGTGAAAGCCCGCACGTGATGGAGATTTACCGCTGATTACAGAACCGGATTTACTGACAAGATGCGCGTTAAATATCGCATGCGATTTATCGTGCAGCCCTAATAAAATGCACAAATTTATGATACAGTTATGGGGCTTTTGCAGCTGATTTTGAAGCTGGTCAGCTCCAGCCCCCATTCAATTGCACTGTAATTGCATGGGGGGAAAATACCAGATTGATTCAAACCATCTCTAGTGTTCCATCTCTTTGTGTTCCACTGAAGAAATAAAGTCATACAGGTTAGAAACAGCATGAGGGTGAATAAATAATGACAAAATAATACAATAAATAATAAGGGTGCACTGCTCTTTTAAAGGAGAATTTGTTAAAAATATATAAATGAATTTGTTTCTTAATCGGAAAAGATTTGGAGAAATTTAACATTACATCACTTGCTCACCAATGGATCCTCTGCAGTGAATGAGTGCCGTCAGAATGAAAGTCCAAACAACTGATAAAAACATCACAACAAGCAACCAATAATCAGCACAACTCCAGTCCATCAATACATGTCCATTCATGGAGCAAGTGATGTAATGCTAAATTTCAACAAATCTGTTTCTGAGGAAGAAACAAACATCTGTATCTTGGATGGCCTGAGGGTGAGTAAATTTTTACTTTTGAGTGAACTATTCCTAGGCCCACCTGCTTAAGTTTGTGAGTTTCTGGTGCAATCTGTTTTTGACAGCACTCTACTTTCATCAATAGTGTTGTGGGTGTCAGGTTGGATTAGACCCTTTTAGTTGCTATGTTGATCCATTTTGGCAGAGTGTTAGGGATACACCTCTCTACCTGCATTGATCTGTTGCTCTCAGCAGGATTGATCCAAGTAATGACATTTTGCACTGTCTGTTGAGTTAATAATTATATATTTATCTTGCATATAATTCTCAAAGTGGTTTCCTCTCAACCATTGCTGACATAAACAGCCAGGATAAGGTATCTGTTTCAAAATGAAATCAACAATCAGTTAAATTCTTTTTCTGGTCTTGAAACTTGAAGCTTTTTAGTTTATGGTTTAAATTACATGTTTTGTCAAAACTTTAGCTGTTCTCTTGTGGAAAAAGAAGTACACTTTAGTAGCTATATTTTCAAAAAGAGTAAGTGAAAGTGAAGTGAAAAAGTGAAAGTGAAAGTACTTATTACAGAAAGAATTGAATGTAATGTTTTCGGACACTCATGTTAATTGCAATTAAAGGAAAATCTTTTATAGTTTAAATTTGTATTAAATTCAAAATTAGTGGAATTTCGAGTGCTTGTTTGACCGAATTAAGTAGGACTTAAATACCTTTACATGTAATTTCATAACTTGAATTTGAAATATGGTTAAAGAGTCCTGACAAATTAAACAAATTTAACTAAAATCTACTTTAATTTCTATTGAAACTTGTAAGTCATATAGTTAAATATATTTCTAATTACACATTTGTAATAATGAAGTTGTAATTTAGTACATTTAAAGGTTACACTTTATTTTAAGGTTAGGATTAAGGTTTGGCTTAGGGCTACTTGCATGTAATTATGCATAATTATTTAGTTATTATAGTTATTATTATAATTTTCTATAGTAAGTAGATGTAACGTTTAACAAAGACACCTTAATATAAAGTGTTACCCATTTAAAATATGTGAACTTTAATATCAAACAACACATTATAGATAAAATTATAATCATGCTTTACATGTGCTTTAGTATGTTAGTTAACTCATCAAAACAGTTACTTCTTTAAAGAATGACAAAAGATTATTAAACATTATGCAAAGTACTGTAAAGTAAAACTTAATTTGACATTATTACAATATGCACTTTTCTAAAAGTGTACTTAAGTGTTTTAAAAACAGTTCTGAAAGTGTACTCTCTTTAAGTGCACTTAACTGGTCTTTTATTGCATTAATATTAGGGCTGCACGATTAATCGAATGCGATTGTCATGCGCATTTTGTTAGTAAAGCCGGTTCTGTAATCAGCAGTAAATTATCATCACGTGCTTTCAGATGGAGCAGCATTTACTACACAGAGCCGTAGTTCACTGACAAGTTACGGAAAAAAATCGCAGACGAATTTATTGAGCGATTATGAAATCGAATAAATCGTTCGCGATAATAACAGCTGTTTGCATAGCTTCTCAGTGAACTACGGCTCTGTGTAGTAAATGCTGCTCCATCTGAAAGCATGTGAAAATACCACATTTAATAACATGTTTTTACTCCAAACTCACTTCATAACATCAATCGAGTGTTTGAAATAAATCCTTCTGTGAGATGATGTGGCTTCTTACACAGAATAAGGCACGCAACATATTTCAGAGTATTCTAAGCAGTGATAAAGGCATTGCATTATAAATATACTTTATTTTAATGAAAATTATAATAATAAGAACTCAGATAAACCGTATATTGCCGTAGTCGTGTGTTTATTTTTTGGGTTTCTTCTGCAAGGCGTATTTGGAGTTTCAGCGCGAAAGCGCCCTCTGGCCTTTACTGCTGATCACAGAACCTTGATCCTGTTTTGACTTTTTGTACTATTTCCAGTGACCAAGCAATAATACAGACGTAACTGCTAATGTTGTGTCGAAAATGTATTAACTTTTGTTTATTGAACTGTTGTATATAAGCAACATCACACTCGCAAATGTGTGCTTGTTGTCTTTTCTTTTTTTAAGTGGGAGCCTGGGAGGTTCTTGGGATGAATAAACTGAGTAAGTGTAGGACTGGAGACCCTAAAGTAAACTAGTTACATATTACAGGGGGAGAGCATAGATAAGTCATATAGGAAAAGTGTGTTCACAGGACAAAGAGTTCACGTAGGCAAGGTGGTGAGTGATCTGATCTTCTTAATAGCTGAGCATTTGTTCCATTTATATGTCTAATTTTAAACACTTTAAATGGTTTATAGTGTTTTAGTTTTCAGCGCATCTCTTTATCTGTCATAATAGAAAGCTGTTGTTTTGATTAGAACATCTAATTTGTCAGATATTCACTCTACAGAAACAAAGCCTTTTTTGCTGCCTTTTAATATTGTATATGTTTTTCTTTATTTTCCTCTACAGTTGATGAATCCAGCTTATTAGAAACACAACCATGGATGAATTCGCTCCATTAGATTGCCTTTTGCCTTCAGGTATTAATATTTATTTTAAACTCATTTAAAAGTCTGAATGCATTTATTCTCGCTCATGCATGCATTTACACTTTGTCCCAAAGAACATAAACATAGTTAATACATTTATCACAGTGCAACACAGTTACACTTCAAATGCTTTAAATTGGCCACTTTGCATGTTCAGTTATTTTAAGGTGCTATATGTCTTATACATTCCAACCTCATTTGAATTAAAATCTTTTATTTTCAGTGTTTTTAATTCACTACAGCTAAGAATAAGATTTTAAATGGTTTCCTGTCCGTCATTTCTGTATAAATTATGCACCTCCACAGTGTTTATTCAGGTGTAATTATTTTTTTAATCATTTACTCGGTTTGCACAGATGAGTCTACACCAACACAGGCATATTGATGATACCAAATGTCTGTTTTGCATATTTTACACACAACGTGGTTTTCTGTGTGCATTTTTATTAGATCTCTACAAATAGTTTTGGTTTCTTTTAATATATTACCTTAAAACTTTGCTGTTTACTTAAGCAAAAAAAACAGGAACTATTAAAACCAGCCAGAAATTTCAAAGGTCAGGCAATGCTGGCTGGTTGTTTAGTATTTAGTTTTTTAACAGGATGGTAGAAGCAATTTGGTAATCAGCTAATGAATCCAGTCAAGTGTACTTTCTGCAAAAATGGATAACAGCCCCCCATGCAATAACTGGACAAAAAAGACACATTTCTAAAAATCGGAGAGCAGTCTACAGCAAAATATCAGATGTGTTCTGGAGGTTTTTTTTTTTTTTTTGCTCAAAATTATATCCCTGTCTGGGTAAATGCCCCATAAATACATGACCAGAAAGTAAGTAATCAGGCTCTAATGATTGGCGAAGAATTGCAGCCATGCTTTCAATGTGTCTGAGATTGCCTGTGGTCATTACAGTAATGAATGCATTCTCAACGACTAACATATCAACTTTTGTCCTGCTGTTAGCTTCCCTGCAAATTTTCACTGGTTAGGTGGTAAAGAAGGTTCACAAGCTAACCACTGTACCGCTGTATACCACTTTTGCTCTGTATTTCACCGCAAAACCTGTCTTATTCACAAACCGCAAACCATGCTTTTTAACCAGACATAAAAAGCCTCAAAAAAGTGCTGCTCTTTAAGAATTCTTAAAACAAACTTTATGTTATCCTCAATGTTATCATCATTGTAATTAGAATAACTTTTGGAAATGTAAAGAGCAGTTTCAGATGTAGACTGCAGTGCAGTATTATTTTAGCATTATTTATATACTAATATTGTGTCTATATAAAATTATATAAAGACCTTCTGTCACAAAGATTAATTATTTGTGTGTAAACATATTTGGCATATTTCTGATTCTTATTCTGATTGCTATTTTGAATTAGCTTTCATTTTTATATTTTCAGTTTAAGTTTGTTTTAGTAATATTATGTAATTGTCATTTGTTTTTAATTAATAATCATTGATACTAATCAATGTTAATTTTATTTTTTAATAATTCTATTTATTTTTAATTTATATGTAATAAAATTTTATATGTAGTTATTGTAGTATTTCAACTTATTTTGTTTCAGTTAGTTTAGTCGAAGTTTTTTTAAGTTTAACTTTTTCATTTAATATTTATATTTTATAACTATTAGATGAAACAACACCACTCCACTAGTGGAGAACAAAAGATTGCATGCATTATTATATGTAATAATGTAATATGTAGTGTAATGTAATGAAATAATTATATTTAGTTATTATTTTGCCATGATTGCAAAATCAAATTTTTTTTATCAAGATCTCAACTTAAAAGTTTTTTTTTCTTGCTTTTACTGTAGAACTATTGTTAGTGTACTTGCTGTACCTAATTTTTATACCGTTTTCCCATAAGGTCTACATACTCAAGAGATTTCAAGACAAAAGACTCATGAGAACAAAAATTCCCTGGAATAGATGGACTCATGTGACCTTACTCTTCTCTGAAATGTTCTATATAGCCCTTCAATAAAATGAAGACTGAAGACATGACCCAGATTTTTGACCTAGTCCAAAAATACGCCATTCTCGATTCTCATGTCTCAGCGTGTGCTTCCAATCCTTAAATTCATACATATTCAATATTTATATTTAATAGAAGGCTGTTTAGAATAAGAAATTGCGTTTCATGTCCTATTCATTCCAGTTTGTGAACTAATCAAACCCAGCTCGTTTATGTGTTGAATTGCAAATTTGTTGTATCCCAATGAACAGCAAGCTCTCAGCTAATTTGGTATATGATCATTTCTGTGTATTTCAATTGATAATTCCCAAAGAAAATATTAAAATGCGGAAAATGTCCTTGGTGCTCTACTAAAAGTTTGTTCTGTCAAAAATTTAATTTACCAGAAGAGGAGATCTGAAATGTGAAAAACCAATGTGGTATAACTGTTGCAAAATACAGATGTTGTTTCTTCTTGGAGTTGTCTACCTTTCGCCACTGCCAATGGTGTTGCGATAGCTCTCATTCATTTATACACAGTGTTTGCAACTCAGGACCTTGATATTTTCTCAGTCTGTTCTGCAAGATGTGTTCTGTGCACAGCTGCATCAGGATACCTGTGATTTATTCAGAGAGAGTTTTGACACGTACACTTTGTACTTCACTCATTACATTTGCTCAACCTGTGATGTTGGTTATTCTTTTCTTAACAATGTGCACTAAAAAAATCAATGCATTAATGCAGCTGTATGTCATTAATGCTGCCAGCATTTATTAGCCATGAAGAGATTTTGGGATGTTATTCAATTGTAGCATTGTGCTGAACGAAGAAGCGTCTGATTAGCTTCATGTTAAAATAACTATAATTAAAAATGTGTGAGCAGCTTGGCTCTGAAATGTATCACAATTAAATGTGTGAACCCATGCATTTGGGAATGCTTGGAGCTCTGAGATGCCTTACAGAACATTATCTTGAAATATTAAAAACACTAAGTTATGGAGTAATCGCATTTCGTTTTCTCCCATAGAGTGTTTCAGATTGTATAGTTGGATCAGTATGTGACAGAACGTGACTTATATGTTCCAACTTTTTTGTTGGAACTGTAGCCAAACGGTTTTTCCAAATTTTTTATTGTACTGCCTCCAAAATTCTTTTGTTTATATAAAAATATGATAATATTAGGGTTCGTCTCCAACAAAAAAAGAAATAAGAAATAATCTTTTGCTCTAAAAAATTAAGTGAAAGATTTTTAATGAATTCTTTCATTACATTTGAGCACCTCATTTCTCGTCATTACAGTCTTTTATTCGTTTATTTGATTGATTCGTTCATTCGATCGTTCATTCATTCAAATAAGAAAGATTTTTGAAAGATTTTTAAATAATTTTTCCATAACATTTAAGCACCCCATTTGTCATTACTGTCTTTTATTCGTTCGTTCGTTCGTTCGTTCATTCATCCAAATAAGAGATTTTTTAGGAATCTTTTTATAACATTCAAGCACCCCATTTCTCATTACTGTCATTCATTCATTCATCCAAATAAGAAAGATTTTTGAAAGAACTTTTAAGCACCTCGTTTCTCATTACTGTCTTATATTCATTTATTTGATTGATTGATTCATTCATTCATTCATTCATTCAAATAAGAAAGATTTTTAAAGAATATTTTATAACATTTAAGCAACCCATTTGTCATTATTGTCCATTATTCGTTTGTTCATTCGTTCATTCATTCATCCAAATAAGAACGATTTTTGAAAGAATATTTTTATAACATTTAAGCACCCCATTTCTCATTACTGTAATTTATGTTTTCATTCATTCATTCATTCATTCATTTGTCCAAGTGAATAAATAAATATGTAAATAAAATTTAAATTTAATATTTCTGTTTATATATTATGGGAGCTTATACATTGTGGTGGAGTGTTTTGCTTTATTTATTTATTATTAATTTTTTTTATGTTCTTTATTGACTATTAATTGATTTTCTGTAGTATTACCAAGAATAAAAGTGATCTTCTACATTTAATATGTGAAATAATATCTGTAAAGCTGAAATTGCTTTGTTAATATTACACAGTTTGCTTTACATTGCTGCACATAAAGTACATCTAGCCGTTGTGGAAAAACCATCAGAATTTGTGTTTAGGCAATTACCAAAGGCATTAGGCTCTATTATCACAGTTATTTCTCTTGCTGTTTTTTATTAGCTGCTTCTATTTAGAGCTGTATCTCACCATATGAAACCAAATATTAAAATGTGTTTTTCTCAGTTTCACACTGTAAATGGGAGGACTGAGACTGCATCATAACCACAGGATGCTGTTGAAATATAGCTGCCCATTAATGTTCACTTTCTGCGTGTTTCTTTTGTTCTTTCACCAGGAAAACAGAGGATTTGCTTGGTTATCATAAATCAGCCGATAGATGAGCGGTACTTCCATGTGTTGTGGAGTAAAGGTATTGATTTTGTGATGAATATCACACATCGCCCTATCATTTGATGCTTGTTTGTACTTGTCTGGATTGCTTGTGCAGTGGAGAATGGCAACATACCTGGCACAGAACTCTCTTGAAAAGGTCGGACAGGCCTAATTGGTGATATATAGGGCCACTGTATGCTATAAAGCCCCTACAACCCATAATGCATTAGTCATCCTTTCGATTCCCCACTGGATGATCTATGATTACATAACTCTTCTGTTTTCTGTTTGTCTTTATAGTGCCGTGTGCTTTTAAGGTACCTTTATTTGTTGATCCCAACCAGTTTTCAATTGCAGCCTGAATAACAGCACTTGTAGAATTGTAGATCATGATTAGTTAAAGGTTGTGTCTCAAATGATGCAATGTACTACACACTACGCAGTCAAGACCATGATTGTCAGTGTGCACCAGTGTTGTTATTGTTAAGTAAAATGAAAACTATTAAAAATCATTTTTGTTAATTGAAATGAAACTGAAATAAAATAAAATATAACTATTCAATCTTAAAAGAACTTAAAATTATTTTGGATGCGATTGAGATTAATCGTTTGAAAGGCATAAAAAGGCAAATTGTGTTTCACCTACAGTGTTTTAGAGATGCCTGTCAATTAAAAATGTAATCATATTCATTCAATGATTTTAAATTAATTATTCAAATTCATTTTATATAATCTTTTTTTTTTTTTTTTGCTGTGAAACAACTCATGATAATTCATTACATCAGACATTACATTAGTGAGGCAGACGAGTAAATAATTTAAAAACATACATTTTTTTCTTCTACCAAAGGTTTGGGGGCATGATTAATTGCATTAATTTTCCTATTGCATTATGTTTTCATAATTAATTGGACTAAATTTGTGCGTTAATTTGATTGCCCTAGTTTCTTTTTTTTTTTACAGGATTTTTAGAGCTATCAAAGCCCTTTCAGCAATGCAAGTCAAGAAAAAGCTTTTTTTTAATTAATTTTATGCATTTTTTGTGTCTAGTGTAGACTCTTCCCTTCAAATGGTTGCCGCTTTGTTTTTATGCAGGCGAGAGTTTGTCAACTATATTGCACTAGCTTTTGTTGGTTTCAGAAGTTGGAACTCATTTCAAAACTCTTGATCATGTAATTCCTCTGCCCTTGCATCAGAGATACTGTGCATTTTTCATGCGGCTTTGCTCTGGAGGCAAAGCAGGTGGGTGACGAGTGTGTTGCTGGGAGCAGGGTGAACATATTCAGATGGTTTTCCTTGAGGGACCGGGGCAGGGCGCTCCACCCCTCCTCGAGTGAGCCTCAGAAGTGCAGTCCTATGGGCCCATGGCACCACCAGTGCTCTAGGACTGGATGATCAAAGACGGCTCTTTGCAGATACCAACACATTTTTGGATGCTTTGCAAAAGTCCTTTCAAAAGTTCACTTCTTTCTTATTACAGTTGCATTATTAGTACTGAATTTAAAACTGCAAACAATTTGTGCCTCTCAACCACCGAGGAAGTGACGTACTAGTGGGTTAGAAAATGCATGCTATGGGCCTTAAACAATAGCTGCCATGCTTGATTTGAAACTAACAAACACAAGGCTGAAAGAAATGCAGTTTGTTCATTATGTTGTGGCTTGGTACCTGTGTGTCCATCATTTTTCATACTTCTGCGTCAAATTAAATATGGCAGCTACTCTCATTGGGTTTATTTCTGTTTTGTACACTACTGTTCGAAAGGTTGGGGTTGGTGAGCTTAAAAATAGCTACATTTGTTTTAGAAACAAAAAACAGTAATAAAAGTTTTCTGTTTTAATATATATTTAATATATCTTTTTTTATTTATTCCTGTCATAGCATAGCTGAATTTATGGCATAATATTATTGTGGAAACCATGGGCGTCATTGGGGGGGGCAATTGCCCCCCCCAAATTGTTAGTAATGGGGAATCCCTGATGTCAACCCCGCTGCAGCGCATAGCCAAGCGCTAAATACCCTCAACGTGTTTTTGCAGCGTTGAGCAATGTAACCAATCACAGACATATCTTTTGATTTCTTGAATGCAATGGCCAATCAGAAACGTTTTGTCAGAATTCACTCACCGCTGAAAGCGCTGCAGTTTTTAAGTGCAGTTTTGCACGCTCGTGAATCATCTCCTGACTAAGTGCAGACGTGATGTAAATAAGAGATTCATTGTGCAGTTTAGAGAGCTTCATTGATTATAACGGATCTTTGTAAGATCGCGATGAACGAAGATGAGTGATGTTTTTTAGTGATAAAAGGAGTGTGCTTTGCACACTTTCTATCCATTCAGAATTTGTAGGAAACTGTGGGTAGAAAGTTCAGCAATGAATGGTGTGCGATTTATGACAGAATATAGTCCCACAACTGATCGTTTATTATTTCCTCACATGTCTCGCCTTTGGTAACAAACATTCAAAACGGAAACATTTCAAGTGACATGGGAAAAAGACACGGAAAACTTCAGTGAACATCAGAAAAGCAGCGTGCACATTTCTGGTTCAAAATGAAAGGCC